CTTGAAGAGTTTAGTCGTATTTGTAATTGTGAAGTCGTAAAAGAGGCTTGGGATATCTTACAAACTATTCATGAGGGCACTTCTTCGGTTAAACGCTCAAAACTTCAAAGGCTCACGTCTAGTTTCGAAAACCTTTCAATGAAAGATAGTGAGACCTTTGATGAATTTTATGTGAAGTTGAGTGACATTGTAAATTCCAGCTTCAATTTAGGTGAAAAAATACCAGAATCTAAAGTTGTGGGAAAAATTTTCAGATCTTTGCCCGATCGATTCCAACCAAAAGTTACGGCTATTGAGGAGGCTTAAGATGTTGACAACCTCAAGCTGGATCAGTTGGTTGGAAATCTCCAAACTTATGAGGCACACAGGAATTTCAAAAAGAAACAAAAAGATATTGCTTTTAGTAGTGCTCATAGAGTTGGAGAGGATTCTGATGAGGATTATGAGATAGATTCCAAGATTACGGTTGCTTTTGTTAAACAATTTAAAAAATCTTTTTTGAAAAAGAATCCTAATCTTTTGGAATCTACTCATTCTCATAAATCTAAAGGCAAAGATAAACTCAAAATTAATTCTATAGCCAAGAAGGAGAAAGGAAAGATACAAGGGAACTCTGAAAGACTCCAATGCTATGAATGCCAAGGATTTGGCCACTTTGCTTCAGAATGCCCTACTCGTTTGAGGAAGAAGAAAGCCCTCGCCGTCACTTGGGATGATGAATCAGAATCTGATGAAGATGAAAGTGACAACGAAGATCAAGGCGAAGAGGGACATAAACAATTCCTTGCTTTCATGGTTGCTTCCGAAGCTGAAGGACAAACAAATTCTCCAAAGAAGTCAGTTGAGAATATCACTGATAATGAATGCTCGGAGAGTGATCATGAAGAGCTTGAGCAAGCTTATGAAAAGTTGTATAAGGAGTCTCTTAACTTATTCAAATTGAATGACAAACTCAGAAAGAAACTCAAAGCATGTGAAAGTGAGAATGTCAAACTTAAGGAGGAGATTTTCGAGGCCAGAATTGATGCCATCAAAATAGCTGATGATCGACAAGCTCTTTGTGCAAAACTATTGACTTGTGAGACAGAGAGGAATGAGCTACTGGAAACCTATGCAACATATGAAGAAAAAATTGAAACTCTCAAGATGTCTCAAATTGAATCTCCATTATAACGCTGTTTAATCATGTTCCAATTAATAATGTAACTTTTCTTTTCTATGAAATACATGTCTCACATTCCTTTTTTGGGTTTCCATTGAACAATACCCTCAATGAGTTAGAAGAAGGGAATCGAGCTGCCCGGTCAGCTCGGCGGGTCCAGGGGGAGCGCCCCTTGGCGGGTCCGGGGCAGCGCCCCCGAAGCAAAATGCAAAAATGCATTCCAAGTTGCCTGTCCGCTCGAGCGGACATTCCCCGCTCGAGCGAAGAATCCCTGGTCTAGAAGTTTTGGTCGCCTGTAAAAGTACTGAGCTGTATAATTTCGCGCTCGACGGGTTCTCTAGAGCTCGAGCGAACCTCTGTTATATCACGCGCATATTTTGCTGAAGACGCTCGAGCGCGCTGTTGGGCACTCGAGCGGAGATCGCGGGACAGATTCTATAAATTCGCGTGTTGGGTCAAATTTTAGAATTACTACTCCAGATCTTCTTTTTGGGTTCTAGGGTTATATCTGGGGATACTTTGTGAGTTTTCTTTGATGTTTTGATTGAGTATTCAACTCATGTTTTAAAGAGTATACATCAAAGGTTTTGTTTGTTCTACAAAAGAGAGAGTTGTTCTTCGATGGATTCTGAAGAATTCGAGCCTAAAGCTTTGGTGGATTCGGGATGGCTCATCGTAAAGACAATTCCGAGTGAAGACGGGTTGGAGAAGACACATAGAGGTTTGTTCAATTAGGCGTGGATTCGCTAGGTAATTGAGAGTATACCTGCGTAATTCCTTTAAATCTTCTTAGTGTATTGTTTTGTGGCTGTTCCCGTGGTTTTTTAATCACAGTTGGAGGTGTCCAATTGTGGTTTTTTCCACGTTAAAATCGTTGTGTTGATTTGTCTTGATTGTTTGACTGGGATTGTATATTACTGCTTAAAATGTTACATAATCACAAATCAATATCTAGGGATTTAGATTTTTCAATTGGCATCAGAGCAGGTTGCTCGTTTGTTTTTTTTTAAAAAAACTCTTTGAGAGAGATCTGTTTGATTTGTGATAATGGATACAATTTGTGAAGGAATTCTATGGTTCGACCACCCTTACTTGACGATCCAATTATTCTTTTTGGAAAGCTCGGATGAGATCTTTTTTAAAATTTATTGATGAAAAAGTTTGGCGATCCGTCATGAATGGGTGGACCGAACCAACAATTACTATGATGGAGTAACTTTTCCCAAACCAATTGATAAGTGGGACACAACTGATTACCAAATAGTAGCAGAATAGTAAAGCTATCAATTCTCTCTTTTGCGCTGTCACACCTGAAGAGTTTAGTCGTATTTGCAATTGTGAAGTCGCAAAAGAGCTTGGATATCTTACAAACTATTCATGAGGGCACTCCTTCGGTTAAACGTTCAAAAACTTCAAAGGCTCACATCTAGTTTCGAAAACCTTTCA